AATGTGGATATCGCCCTTCATCTTGCGGCCATGAGGATGGGAGGGTACCTGCCGTCGAGAACGAGGATCCCCCACTGTATCGATGACGCTCTGAAGACCAGCTTCGTTCAGCATCGACCGAATCGTACGAGTAAGGTTGTCATGCGCCGTGGGAAGCTTGGAGGATCGGCGTGAGGATATCACGCTGCTGATCGGTCAGCGCAGCGCGAGCATGCACATGGCGAGGGAAGACGCGCATGACAAGAGGGTTCACATTTCGCTGCGCAGGGGGAGGAATGAAGTGCTCATGAGACGAGTCGACGAGAGCGCGCAAACCAGGGATGTGTACCACAGATGCCGGGGGGCGTCCTGCGTCATCAGGCACAGCAGCCGGGGCAGGTGGGATCGCCGCGCCATCTGCAGCTGGTGCAGGAGCCTTGACACGACGGTAGAGGATCGCTCCAGCATTATGAACGAAGTCGTGCGCCTCAACGAAGAAGGTCGCCAGAGGATGCTTCTGGGCACGGAGAGATCTCGAGCAGTGAACGTCCAGGCTATGAGGAGAGGGCAACATCCGGGACATGGGCTGGTCAGAGTACCAAGCGAGGAAGCGAGCGATAGCCGTATAGTAAACAGCGGGGTGTAGACCCTCAGAGGGCGTGAACTCGTCCCCTCCCCGACTATGCGGAAGCTCCCGCTTGAACCTCGCAAACTCTAGCAGGTCGGGATGCGCGGCGAGGTACTGCGAGGAAGGCCAGCGGTGGTATTTCTCAAGCGCCAGGTGGACAGAGAGGTCAAAGCGACGAATCTGTGATTGCACCCGCGGGAGAAACGGAGATGACCCCTGGAGGAAGAAGCGCAGCTTCTGGAGATGGCTCGCCCTCACCAGCGTCTTGAACATGAAGCCATGATGCTGGACGAGCCCGAGCTTTGAGAGCTCTTCGTTGAGGGTAGAAACCTTCGCTCGGAGCTGACTAGCATGAAATCCATCCGTGCCGATAGGCAGGCCGCCAAGTGTAATCCCGCCAGTGACGACCTCGAAGTGAAGAAGTTGAGTCTTGAGACGCGGCGCTTAAGGCTCTTCTTCAGCTGCGAGAGATCAGGGTGTTGATGCCAGGAGGGGATGTAAACTTTCGACTCGCGAGGTTGAATCTCTAGCTTCAGATCAGCCACCATGTACTTCTTCATAGCGGACGTAGCTGCAACGGCATCCTCGAGTGGACCGACAAGCACGACGTTGTCAGCATAGGCCAAGACTCGAACAGAGGGGAAAAGCTCTGCGATATGGAGGAGCAGGGGGTGGATACTGTGGCAGAAAAATACGCTGGAGGGGACATCGCCCTGACAGACGCCCGAGGTACACTGAACGGAGGCTGACTGACTTTTGTGAAGAGTCGAAGGTCAGCAGAGTCTCCATAGTAGCTGGAGAGGTAGGAGGCGAACAAACGGAGATGCTCGCAAGAGGGCAAGCTTGCGCCTTCAGTGATGCTCCCATCAAAGTAGTCGCGACTCGCACGTCCCTCGATTGCATCGAAGAGAGCCTGGCGGTCGAGGGAGTTGAAGGCGTTCTTTGCATCCAAACTCACCAGCACTGTGGGGTTGGCAACATCCTCATCATCACCGCTCAGGTCCATCGCCAGCCCAAGCGCGAAGCCGCGCAGACAAGGCTTGTATAGGATTTACTGACAAGCACATTGGATTTACTGGCAGAAGGTAAAAAGTGCCTCAAGCAAAACAAAGCAGCCTAAGGGTCAAGCAATCAAGCAACAAGCAGCAGGAGCATGCAGGAGGAAGAAAAGCGAGGAGGACTACCTCGAGCGGTACCGTGTTCCTGTGTCCAGCCTCCCTCCGTCCGCTGCCCCAGGCGGATTTACTGGCAGAAGGTAAAAAGTGCCTCAAGCACACCCGGAGGCAGCTCTTGGCACCCGCTACTCCTTCTTCTAACTCGAGGCACCTCCTGGACTGGATGGCCTCCTAATCCTAGTGGATTT